GTCGTTCCCCTAACACTGGCCAGGATGCAGGGGAGCCAAACTCATCCCTGTCCCAAGATAGACGGCCGCCTTGTACCTGCGTGTGCTAGTCAGAGCAAGTGCGGCACTGACACCATGAGACAAGGTGCCAAGGCCCCCGCTCGGGGCTGGATGCGGAGGAGGAGGAGGAGGAGGAGGAGGAGGAGGAGGAGGAGGAGGAGGAGGAGGAGGAGGAGGAGGAGGAGGAGGAGGAGGAGGAGGAGGAGAGGGAGGAGGAGAAGGAGGAGGAGGAAGAGGAGGCGGACGAGGACGGGGAAGGGCAGGACGTGGAGGTGGAGGTGGAGGAGGAGGAGGACAAGGAGAAGGAGGAGGAGGAGGAGGAGGAGGAGGAGGAGGAGGAGGGGAAGGATGATGAGGAGGACGAGGAGAAAGAGGAGGAATAGTCGGGAGACCAGGACTCCAAAACCATTGAAAAACAACATAACCACTGGAATTTCGGCTCAACGGCGCGCGTGCTCCACATCAAAAGCAACAACCGTTTTGCAAATTAGTCTGCGTGTAGCTCGTCTGCCTGGGGTCCATATGAGGTGGACCATCATTTTAAGGCAGATGCAGCACATCAGCATCAAACTCATTCTTGGTACGGTTCCAACGAACAAGCATGCCGCAGCTTAGTCAACAGGAGCTTGCTGGCCATCAGGTCGACGAAGGTAATTAACAAGGCTTTCGTTTCGTGGTTCGGGTTTCTCCTGACCATCTTGTGGTGTTGGGCCCTCGTTTTGAATCAGCAGCGCCGCGCCCCTCCTTCCCACTGCCGCGCCCCTCCTCCTCCTCCTCCTCCTCCTCCTCCTCCTCCTCCTCCTCCTCCTCCTCCTCCTCCTCCATCCTTGTCCTCCTCCTTCTCCATCCTCCTCCTCCTCCTCCTCCTCCTCCTCCTCCTCCTCCTCCTTCTACTCCCACCTCCTCCTCCCCCCTGCCTCTGCTCTCCGCCCTCTCGGCGCCACCACGCCACGCCCCACACGTATTTCGCAGTCCCCCCCCCAGGGGGAGCCTCATAACCGGGGCCTCTCCGGGGTGGGAGCCCCGCGCAGCGTCCCGGCGCAGTGTTTCATGACTCTGGACTTCGACATTTGGCCGAGGGGTGGGGGAGGGGGGGATCTGAGGACGCAGACCCCCTCGCATGTGGCAAAATGCACGACGCGAGCCTTTTCACTATGTTCGGCCTCCGGGGCCCCTTACCGGGCCGCGGGGCCGTCAAACAACGACTCAGCGTAGGGGGCTGGTCCCGGGGGATGGGTCGAGACCCCTAGGGGTCGACGTCATGAAATTAGCCTGGCGAAGGACCCAACCAGATGCAGCTGTGAGTGCCGTAACGGGGCGTATCGTCTTCGGTAAAGCTCCCGATAGGGCGACGAAGCATATGAGAGATGAGCCGACGTGGGGATGCAACTGCATGCGAACCCTGCACTGGGGCCTTCGGTGGAGCCCCTTATGGGGCCACGGACCGTGTGAGGGGTGCGCCGGAATTGGGTGTGGAATTGCTTGCGCACTTTCCCCCTGTGGCCTGCGGGGAGGCTTCCTATGGGGTCACGAACTGAGTGAGGGGTGCGACGACGTGGAGGTGGAACTGCATGCGAACTTTCGCACTGGGGCCTTCGGTGTAGCTCCCTAAGGGGCACGAAATGGTGAGGGGTGCGCCGAAATGGGGGGTGGAATTGCACGCGAACTTTCCCACTGGACCCTTCGGTGGAGCTCCCATACGGGACCACGAACCGTGTGAGGGGTGCGCCGACATTGGGGGGTGGAACTGCATGCGAACTTTCCCACCGGGGCCTTCGGTGGAGCTCCCTACGGGGCGACGAAACGAGTGAGGGGCGTGCCGGAATCGGAAGGGAAATGCATGCGAGCTTTCCCCTCGGGGGCCTTCGGTGGAGCTCCCCAAGGGGGCCGCGAACCGTGTGAGGGGTGCGCCGAAATGGGGGGTGGAACTGCATGCGAACTTTCCCACTGGGGCCGTCGGTGGAGCTCCCCAAGGGGGCCTTGAAGCGCGTGAGGGGTGCGACGAAACTCGGGTGGAACTGCATGTGACTTTTCCCTCTGGGGCCTTCTGGTGTAGCTCCCTACGGTGGCACGAACCATGCGAGGGGTGCGCCGAAATAGGGGGTGGAACTGCATGCGAACTTTCGCACTAGTGCCTTCGGTGGAGCTCCCTACGGGGCCACGAACCGTGTGAGGGGTGCGAGCCGAGTGAGGGGTGCGCCGAAATGGAGGTGGAACTGCGTGCAAGCTTTCCTACTGGGGTCTTCGGTGTAGCTCCCTACGGGGCCACGAAACGCGTGAGGGGTGCGCCGAAATGGGGTAACACTGCATGCAAACTTTCCCACTGGAGCCGTCGGTGGGGCCACGAACGGTGTGAGGGGCGCAAGGGGTGGGAGGAGCGGGGGAAGGGTGGAGGGGGAGGGTGAGGAGAAGGACGAGGAGGAGGAGGGAGGAGAGGAGGAGGAGGAGGAGGAGGAGGAGGAGGAGGAGGAGGAGAGGAGGAGGAGGAGGAGGAGGAGGGAGGAGGGGAGGGGAGGAGGAGGAGGAGGAGGAGGAGGGGGGAGGAGGAGGGGAGGAGGAGGAGGAGGGAGGAGAGGAGGAAGGAGGAGGAGGAGGAGGAGGAGGAGAGGAGGAGGAGGAGGAGGAGGAGGAGGAGGAGGAGGAGGAGGGGAGGAGGAGGAGGAGGAGGAGAGGAGGAGGAGGAGGAGGAGGAGGAGGAGGAGGAGGAGGAGGACGTGGGGTGCTGTCTCTTCAAAGTGAGGACCCAACACCACAGGATGGTCGGGAAAAGTCATGACGTCGGGGGTCGGTCGGTCCCAGCGCCCTTTGTTTCTGGGTTTCGCCATTTGGCCGAAGGCTGGGGGAGGCGCCAGGGACCAGCCGCCCAAAGCAGCCAAGATCTAGACTGGCGGGGTGGGGGGCGGGGGCCTCGCCGATCGGCGAAGCACGAGATAGAAAAACAGCGACACACGCTCGTTTCATAGTCACTGTTTTGCCGACGCCGATCGGCGAGGGCCCACCCCTTTCCCTTCCCCCCCCCCCCCCCCCTGGAGCAGATCTTGGCTGTGTTTGGCGCCTGTCTGCGGAGTCTCCCCCACAGGACGCACTGCTGCAAGCCGTCTGGCTGAGCAGAGGTCCAGAGCCAGGCCTCCCCCCCCCCCCCCTTCCGCCCACGGTCGAAACGCCGAAACAAACAGAAAACGTTCGCTGTTTCGGCACACCCCTCACACTTTCAGTGGCCCCATGGGGAGCTCCACCACAAAGCCCCAGACGTACAGCACAGCGTCCACCCAAAACCCGTTTCGGAACGCCTGTCGCACGTTTCGTGGCGCTTCTTACCAGACCCAGCAGATAGGCAGCAGCAACCAGCCGACAAGCAGCATCACAAGCAATGAACGAACACAGTGCAAAGACACAGGCTAGCAAACACCCCCAGCTACTACCAATACTACGGTCGCTCCTATGACTTAGCCCCCACATCGGGAGTGCACGAGTCTACTGTCTGGGGTCCACGCGCTGGCACCATGATGCAGAGTGGGTCGTGGCACTCGGCGCGTCCACTGGAACATGTCGCTTCGATTGCTTCGGCGGGAACTGGACACTCTTGCAGGGCGCGCCGCTTCGGAAGCATGATCTTCTTGCTTCCTGCCGTTTCGCCTCGTTCGCAGGACGGCCCTGCTTGTCCTGGACCGTTCTGGATTTAGCTCTCTGCCGGGTTCTGTGCTTCGTGAGCGGAGTCCAGGAAAGCCCCCTCGAGGGGCAGCGGATTCTTGTGAGGTGAATCTGTGCATGAAAAAATGATCTCCTCCTCCTCCCCCTCCCCCTCCCCCTCCTCATCCTCCCCCATGCTCTTCTCGCTCCCTGCATGCATGCCCGCGCGCTCGCGCTGGCACGCCCCCTGCTCCAGGGCGCAGGCCGCGCGACCGCCGGCGCCGCGCGCACGAGGCCTCTCGGGGGGCCGGGCCGCGGCCTCCGGCCTCCGGCACTGCGCGTGGGCTCCCCTCTGGCCGGTGGCCGTGCCGCGGGCGAGGGGCTGCGGAAGCAGTGGCGAAGCGTCCCGGCTCGCCTGTGGCCCTACCCAGCATCGGGGGCGGAAAAGAGGGGGGTGATGACTAGGGGGGGGGGGATATCATGGCGCGGGCCATGATATCTCCGCAGATTTCATGGCGCCTCTTCTTATTTCATTGCGTCCCAGGCCCCCGCGCTTGGCCGCGCACATGCCGCCGGTCATGATTTGCACCCCCCCCTCTTGGACACCCCCCTCTTGGCCGCTCCCGAAAGCAATGTTCTAGGAACCTCTTGTGGTTTCCACGAGATGTTCTGAGAGCATTTCTGGTTGGGGCTGTCTTGTTTTATCACAGCGGGCATGCGTTCCGAGAACAGCGTTGTTGTCTTCAGAACATGTTGGGGTTCTGAGAACATTGCGTGGTAGGACTACAGGAATGCCGGGACGGTCGGTCCTTGCTCAAGGGGCTGCCCCCTCCAGGCACGTGTGCGCTGCACGGGTCTCGATGTAGGTCGGGCACGTCCCTCTACAGGAGGAGTACTCAGAAAGAGATGAACAAATAATCCGGGGACGATTTTGGGAGCATCTCTGACCGTTTGGGAGCATGTTTTGCGTACTTAGGATTGGCCGTGGACCGTTGCATCGCTTTTTTGTGATCACCTTTTGGATCAGGACCGTTGGCCGTAGGATTTCGCACTTAGGATTCGTGACCTTTTTTTGACCGTGTTTGACCGTCGGAGCATCTTTGCACCCTCCGGTGCGGGCTCCTCGGGGCCCCCCGGATCGCCGAGCGTGCTGCGGCGGCGGCCGCCTGCGCGCTCGGACTCGGCCCCCCTAGGGCGCCCCTCCCCCCAAGAGAAGCCGCGCACCGCAGGCCGCTCTTGCCCGGGGCCACCCTTTGGGGGGCCACAGAAATAGCAGAAAACTATCTTTTTTAATCGTTCTCTCCCTTATTTTTTCATCGTCATCCCGCATTACCCCCACCCCCCACGATTTCTGAGGGGGAGGGCGGGGCTTCGCTTCGCCTGGGAGCTCCCGAGCGAAGGGAACCCCGCCCCCCCCCCCTCGGAAAAGTCGTGGGGGGCAGGGGCAGGGCTCGCGCGAGGCCCCCTATGTCTTTGCGTGCAGCCGCCTGCCGAGGGGCCCCTCGGGGAGCGGGCGACCGGGCCGCCCGCTCCTCGGGGGCCAGCCTTCGGGCGCCCGCCCTCGTGCGGGCGGGCGCCTCTCTGTGCGGGCCCCGCAGGGGCCTCCTCGTGTTCCCTCGCCGCTCCTCGTCTTGCGGAGGCCCGGCCGGTGCCCCGGCGTGCCAGCGTGCAGCTCCTCGTGCGCAGCACGGGTCGCTCATGGCCTCGGGCGTCGGGGCGCAGCTCGGTCGTCGCTGGGGGAGGAGAGGGGGCCTCCAGCCTGAAGCAGCGCACACGTGCACACCGTTCATCTCTATGGATTCGGAAGCTCTTTGATTTTCTTGGGGGGCCAAGACCCTTTCATTTCTAATTGTTCTATCCTGGGCCTCTTCCTGGCCACTAGGGCGCCAGGAACAATTAGAAACGAGCACGATTAGAAATGAGCACGATTAGAAATGAACGACGTGTTTGGATGGTTGTCGCTAAAAGGGAGCATCTAGTCGTTCCCCAGCCATGTCGGGCAGGCAGAGGGCGGTGCCAGAGAAGGAATACAAGAGGTGGGAGCAAGAGGTGGTCAACAAGTTTTACACGGAGTCTCAGGCCCATACAGAGTTGGTTCCAACAGATGGACATCCTTCTATAGTGCAGAAGGAGAAGGTAATCGCGGTTGTGCTTGCTGGCGATGGAGGAATGATCGATCAAGTGGCTCGCGAGGAGATCGATGAACTTCCTAGGAAGGGTGGTCATATCATGCTGTTTCACATAGGGAAGGACGAGAAAGATGGGGTTAGCTATGGTTATATCGAGGAGAAAAAAGAGTTTGTCCATCCAGGGATCGACGTTGGCGGTCTGACGAATTACAGGCAACCGATAGGGAAATCGGCCAACTTTATCCCTGATGCAGATGCGCACTTTGTTATCGGTCCGCATTGTGATGCAGAGTCGGCGGGAATGCTGGGAAGCCAATTGCGGGAGACATGGAATAAGTATGCCCCAAAACCTCTCCCTCAAGACTTCAACACTAAGCTGTCCGAAGTGGTGAGGTCCATTCATGATGTTTTTCAAGACAATGGAGGTGCAGTGCTGAAGTTTTGGAAGCCGCCTTCTGAGCACCGGGTATTGGTCACGTCCGCCGACGTGAGGGCTCGCACGGGGAAATACTATGAGCGCGTGTTCGGGAAAGGCCTGTATGCAATGGAGTCTGATGGAATCGGCCTCTTTGCAGGCGTGTCCAAGTCATCCATCACTCCCAACATCAATCAGCGCAACATCGATCTGGAGTATATTCCATACGCGCCAGCACCTCCGACGTGCACAACGTCCTCTTCTTCAAGATGCGTGCCGACGTCCCGCCGGCGGCCGTGCCGATGTTGGGCGGCGGCGACCGCGGCGTTGCCGGTTCTCGTCGGCGCAGCCCTGGCCAGCGGCATTCAAAGATTCAAGTCGATGGATGAGCACCGGCGGTCACAGGCATCTACGTCTTGTTGTCGTCATGGTAAGTCATAACTAATCGTCGCTTCGGCACGGCCAATGTCGGCATAACATCGTGGTATCTGGTGGCCCATCTCGCCGCCATGCCTGGGCTGTGGGCGCGAGGCGCAGTGCGAATATGGTTGGGAGTACCACGGCTTCCTGGGCTGTGGACCTCTTGGGACGCCCTTGGGGGCCTGTGTGAGGCCTCTTTGGCGCCTCCTGGGAGCGTCTTGGATGCCTCTTGTGAGCTTCTTGGAGGCCTCCCTCAGGGGCAACAGCATCAGTCGGCGTGAAAGAAGCGGGTCTTGAAGCAAACGGGTCCTAAGGTTTTTAGCGTCTTTGATCTCCCCCTCAACGGGCCCCGAGATTGTAAAAAAACAGCTCAGGATGAGGAGCTGGTCCTGGGGCCTCTTGGGGGCCTCGTGGGGGTCTTGTGTCCTTCCAGCGGGGAGGCTTTGAGCGGCCTGGCGGAGCTCTTGGGCCCCTGTTGGGAGCCTCGGCGGCCATCCTGGGGCGGTTTTTGGGGGTGCTCGTCAGACCGAGCAGGCGAGAGTGCAGGTTGGGCGATTCTGCCCTCGGGGGCTGGCCCGCGGGCCTCCAGAAGAGCCAGAGATCGCCAGGAACGTCAAGGACGGGCATCGCGGACCGCTTTGGGGCACGTTGGAAGTTCGGGCCCCGGAGCACGCTGCCGGGCCTCGGGGGCGGGGCCGCGCGACAGCGATAGGAGCGCGCGACAAGCGCCCAGAGTAGCCGAGACTTGGGAGGTCAGGGGCATTTGGGAGCGGAGGAGGAGGAGGAGAAGGAAGAGGAGGAAGAGGAGGAGGAGGAGGAGGAGGAGGAGGAGGAGGAGGAGGAGGAGGAGGAGGAGGAGGAGGACGACGAGGAAGGGGAGGAGGAGGAGGAGGAGGAGGAGGTGGAGGAGGAGGAGGACGAGGAGGAGGAGGAGGAGGATCAGATGCAGTGTTGAAGGTCCTTGAGGACCTGAAGGCATTCGACCTGGGGCGTACGGCCCGGTGGCGGCTGTGATATCTGAGCTGTTGACGCTTCGCTTATCATCACCAGCCCCTCCAGAATCAATCCCCAGGCGAGATGCCTTGACCAGGGAAGCGTAGGAACATGCAGTGGAACAGAAAAGGGGCATCTGTCAAACTGAAGCTCGGGGTCAGCCTGAGCAGACCAGTCCACCAAACAAGGCAATCGTGGATCTTTCGATCGGGGGGCGTCTTTAAGACTCGTTGGGGCTATCTTTGGGCGCTGTGATTGTCAACATGTTTGACGGAACAGGATGTAGTTGTGAGCTTGATGCCCCCAGTATTTCTTGTATACGGTAGATGCTCGTGATTTCAGCGGATTCCTTTGATGCCCATGGATGTAACGCTTCTATGCTCTCTGTACATGCGACCTCGTAGGAGCCATTTTGCCTAATGCTCATGATCGTTTATTGCCCCTCGGAGTATTTGCGCCGTCTATTTTCATTGGGATGCTTTTGTTGTTAAGGAATGTTCCGGATCCAGGTCTGTTCCTCTGTCATTGTGTTGATTGTTCTTTCTTAGGTCTCATTGCCGTGGTTTTTTCCGCAAGCGTCAGATCCAAGTTTGTGCGATTCGTTTACGTTCGCGCCAGTAAATGCTGACACGCAGATATGAGGGATCCGTTTAGAACCGTATTCCCCGTGCTTATATCGGATGTCGTGTGAGCATCCTCAGGTTTATGCCAACTCTTTTCGCTATTCGACAAACTATTCGTATTTCCGTTCTGGTTGCTACAGGGCCCCCAAGCGATTTCTCGCCCCACTTTCCGATTTCCCAACGCTGATCGCTTAGAAAAGAAGAGTCAGCTCGGAGAACACTTCCAGTAAGGCTACTCGGGCGCACCCCTATCAAGGATCGACGCGCCCCCCGTAGTGCATGCCCGAGCTGGGCCTCAAATCATCTTCCCAGTCGGACAACCCACAGAGCCTGGGATTGGGGTCGCCATGGGCCCCGCGACTCCAGGCGTTGGACAGCCTCTACAAGTGGAGCCTCCGGGTGGGCGCAGACCGCCTGGACGGCTCCGTGCTCCGCGAGGGCCCTGGCTTGGACGTGGACGTGCCGCCCACGCTGGTTGGGAAGAGCGCCGTGATCACGGGCGGCACCAAGGGGTGCGGCTTCCACGCGGCCGTCAACTTCAAGGCGCTCGGCGCCGACGTTGTGATATCGGGCCGGTCTGAGGCCAAGGCTCGAGGGCTCCGATCCGTCGGTGAAGGGGAGGAGGAGGGAGGGGGTCCGGAGGAGGGAGGGAGGGGGGGAGGCAGGCCAGGTGCGCTCGCGCCATGTCTGATGTCCTACCCCTCCCTCCCATCCTTTACCATGGCGTAGATCTCCTCTCTATTCGCACAGTCGGATGTCGTAGCAGGGTATAGCATTACATGGCACAGCATGGTGTTGAACATCAACGCGTAGCCTGACATAGCATGGCGTGGCGACGCCCCAAAGTGGGGGGCTTCTGCGACAGAAAAAATCAACGAATCGACACCGAATGTGTAATCGCTTCCGATGGTTGTTTCGGGGGGGCATTTTCCAGATTTGGAGGCGGCCTATCTGGAAGGACCGAAAACCATGCCGTGGCATGGCGCTGGAAATAATGACGCCAGCGCTGCAGCGGGAGCACGATTCGGAACGAGCGGAAGCGAAGAAATGAGGCTAGCGCTGCAGCGGCAGCACGACTCGGAACGAGCGGTAGCCCGAAAGTGAGACCAGCGCTTCAGCGAGAGCAGCATTTTGGAAAAAAACACAAGCGAAAACCCAACTCCTGGGAATCCTGTCTGTACAACGCAGTACGCACAGGGGGGGCGAATATTTCCCGGACGTCACCAGGGGAGAGAAGAGTGTAGTAGTCATATTATGTAAGTGTAGAGACGAGGAGGAGGGAGGAGGGAGCATAGTAAACCCAAGACGTATCAGCTGCCGCAGCCTCCCGTTCCAAGTCCTGCTCTCATGAGTCCCTACAGACTTTCCTCTTCACCGCATCTATCGCCCCCCGAAAGTCCATCACCCTGGGGGCCCGTCATTCAACCGAGAGTCCCGCCAAGAAGCAAGACATTGCCCTGCATCCTTCCAGCGCGCAGTCGGGAACGCGGGGAAACCTAACCCTGCAGTCAGGTTAAGTAACATCTTGCTGGTCAGACTTGTGACGGACTGCAGGAAGATCCGTGGCCGGGGCGCGGCCCGCCCGAGCTGCCTTTCCAGACGACAGCCCGCCGGTCTTGTCGGCACAATCTGCTGGAGGCTGCCGGAGCGGCCTCCCCTCGTCAAGGCTACGATGCTGGAGCCCACGCCGCTGGCTGCTGGAACCGTTGCCCCTCGCAGGTGAACATGGGGTGCTGGAGCCCACCCTTCGAACGACTTCACCTCGTCAAGGAGTTGGGGGCTGGAGCCCGCGCTGTGGCCTGCCGGAGCCCTTGCCACTGGTAGCTGAACCTTGGGTGCTGGAGCCCACCCTCCTTGACGGCCGAATCCGCCCGAACGACTTCCCCTTGTCAAGATCGGGGTGCTGGGGCGGGCTGCTGGATCCGCTGCCCCTCGACACCAACCGGGTTGCTGCAGCCCGCCCTTCTGGACGGCACAACCTGCTGGAGCCATCTCTCCTCGTGAAAACTGGGCATTGGAGCCGCACCCCGCGTGGGAGTTTGAAGTGCAGATGAGGTCGGGGGGGAAGGCCAAATTCATTGAATTACCTACGGTTTTGTAAGGATTTGGGCGCTTGCTTCTGTACGGCCTTCCGACGGCCCGACCGAGACGGACCAAGAGCCCCCAAAGATCGCCCCAAGATCGCCCAAGAGGCCTCCAAGATGGCCCCAGAACGGCCCAGGAGGCCCCCAAGACGACCCCAAGAGGGTCTCAAGACTGCCCAAAAATAGCGGGGTCCTAGCAAGTCACACCTTTTTGCGGGCGTCGCGGCCCCGCGCGCAGGGACAGGGCGTCCAGAGTCGGAGGAGAGAACGCGCGCGCGCGCGACACTGGCGGCCGAGCGCTCAAGCCGCTCAGAGCGAGCAGCGCCGCGGCCAGCCATAGGTCATCCGGGCATGGATGACCGGGGGGGCAGACGAGGCACGCATGCTATGCTAACCGCCAGGGTGAGAGGACCTCTGCCAACCTTCATTCCCTCGTGCCTCCAACCTAGCGGCGACAGGAGGCCTCCATAGCAGTGCCCGCTGGGGCGGCCACGGCCAGCCAATGCGACGTTGCCACATCCTTCCTTGTGCCAGCGCGTTGCAACCTCATGCCTACACACACCAATCGTACGTAGGCGTTTCACGCTTCTCACAGCCTGCATTGCCGCAGATCAGCCAGCCGAGCTGCTTGAACAGCTGTACCCGCCAGGCAACGTTGGGGGGGGCTATGGAGTTGTGGTTGGGTTAGGAGGGACCCCGAACGTCGCTACAGGCCATCCTGTACAGGGGGAGGGTAGCCACAGACCGACACTGCTGCCAACGCTTACGCATTGAGAGTCTACTTGTGCAGCTGCGTGCGCAGTCACCCCAGCCATCGTATCACTCGGTTGCTGCGTTCTGAACCCAACAGTTTGCACAAACTCCCACGCTTGCAACTCGCCGCCAGACCGCCAGCAGCGTTGGGAGGGTCTCTCTGTCGGGAGGGGGGGTGGGGAGGAGCCACGACCAGACGTTGTCGCCGTCACCAGGTTGCGTTAAGTCGGGCCTGTCCCTCTACAGGGAGAATGCTTAAAAATAGTCAAAAATAGTCTGGGGACGATTTATTGACTATTTTTTCGCATGTTTTGAGTGTGTTGGGTTTTGTTTTAAAAGTGTTCGCCCAACATGCCCTGTAGGGGGACAGGCACGACCTAAGGATAGCGCAAACCTCCCCGCGCCCAGGGAAACCCCGGACTCAGCCCGCGGTCGAGGTGTCCGCCTGCCTCAGCGGGTGAGGCCCCCCCTTAGTTGGACCAGGGGCTTCTTAACGTCGGGAGGGAAAAAGCACACACAGCCACAATGAGTCCTCGACCCCCCAGGAACAGATGGGAAGACATGGGAAGACATGGGAAGACAAACACCCAGAAAATGAGGCGCCAATGAGGGAGGAAGACAACAATCCCCGAAAATAAGGGACATAAGGAGTAGGGGAAGACAAACACCCCCGAACATAAGGGGAGCTGTGTCTCTGTCAGTGTGCCCTTGGGGCCCCCTCGACGGCGGCAGAGGAGCGGCCCCCCCTTGGGCGCCGCTCGAGCCCCTGGCGAGAGCGGCCACGCCCGCGGTGAAGCCGCCACGCCCCGGGCCCCTGCCGCCGGCGCCGCTCCTTGCTCTCGCCTGCTCGCCTCCCTCCCGTCGCTGTGGGCACGCCTCTCCCCTCCTCTCCTCTCCTCTCCTCTCCTCTCCTCTCCTCTCCTCTCCTCTCCTCTCCTCTCCTCTCCTCTCCTCTCCACTCCTCCACTCTCCTCTCCTCTCCTCTCCTCTCCTCTCCTTCTGTCGTTGTGGGCACTCCTCTCCTCCTCCTCCTCTCCCCTCCTGCAGCCAAGGCGCTGGAGTAAGGAACAGTCTTGGTTCGGAAGGGGCTCGATGTTCCTTAGGCTCTCCTCCAGCGCTTTTCCTCTTGCCCTCCTGGGGCACGGAGGCGCTCACAGGGCCAACAAAAGGGCTCCGTTCCTTCTTGAGCGTTTCTTCTTTCAGCTGCCCCACTGTACTCACGTCTGCCGCGTGTGTGATGTTTACCTCTGCGGCTTCCTACCAGCCGGCGACCTCCCTCGCCAGGCCTACTAGTTTGATCAGCCCTTCCAGGGCAACCGCCCCTGAGAGGTGTGGGGGGGTTCTGCGCTCCACGAACCTCCAGGCCGAGAGAGGGAGAGAGAGAAAGAGAGAAAGATAGAGACGCAAACCGACAGAGAGATAGAGTAGAGAAAGAGAGAGAGAGAGAGAGGAAGAGCGAGAGAGACAAGGTGGAGGAAGACTAGGAGAAGGAGGAGTAGGGAGAGGAGGAGGAGGAGGAAGAAGGAAGAGGAGGAGGAGGAGGAGGAGGACGAGGAGGAGGAGGTGGAGGAGAAGCAGGAGCAGGAGGAGGAGGAAGAGGAGGAGGACTGTCTGTGAATCGAGCGACCCCCAGAGGCGGGAGACGCTGCCAGGAAGATCGCCGAGCTGGGGGGGCGCCGTCCGGGCGCTGCCGCCGGCCCGCACAGGGTGGTGCGCCCCGAGGAGAGCTATGGCTCCGTCGTCGGCCTGCCTCTGGACACCACGGTCTTCGAGACGGTGAGGCTCAGAGGAGGAAGACGTGGGAGGGAGGGGGGAGGAGGGAGTGGGAGGAGGAGGAGGAGGAGGAGGAGGAGGAGGAGGAGGAGGAAATGGAGGACCATCGCATGCTAATGAGGAAGGCTAGGGCTAGGCCGACCCGACCCTAACCGAAACCTGAGGGTTACATCCGCTCTCCCCTTACGCTCACTTTCGTCACTACGTCGCCCCTCCTTCCTTGAGGAGCTGGGCCGCAGGGATGGGCAGGGAAAGTCGGGGGCGGGCCTTCATACTACTCTTGGGATGACGGCCGTTTGCCAGGAGGGACCACGCACCTTGGGAGAATTTGCTTTGGAAACGCTCCTTGCATTCACCTTTGAGTCCTTTGAGGTTGCTTTCGCTGTAGCGGCCGCGCCTCTTACAAACGACTAGGAAGGACTCGACATCAAGGTAATCGCATATCATTAAATGGTGCTTCTGGGGGTCCCGAATTAGCTTTGACAACATGACTGAATTACCTGGGCATGCTTCACGCATGCGGGCCTTGCGGGTACTGTCCGTGCGGGCGCGGGTATGACACGCTAGGCACAGCCAATGACTATTAAGCCATGCCCACTGATGTCTGACCACGCCCTGGGGGTTACGGCACGCACGAGCACGCCGAGGACGACCCCCAGGGGGCGGGGGTGGTGCAGTCCACTGGCTGACTGCTCCCGCTGCCCCAACTGGGGGGCTGAGGCTCTGGGCGGGCTTCTCGTAGGCCTTCTTGCCCGACTTCGGAGCGAGAGGGGCCCACAAGGAGAGCGCCTCAGAACTCGGCTACGGCATTCTTTATAATACTCGATTTCTCTCTGGGACGGGGCGGGGGTTCTGGCAGCCGCTTGTTTGGCCACCTTGTCCGCCCAGTCATTTCCTTTGGCAACAAACCAGTCCCTCGAGCCAACCACCAGGGACGACAGATCCTGGTGGGCCTTTACTTTCCCGATCTCGAGGGGCGCAAAGCAGCTCTGGGTCCTTGCCAGAACTGAAACTCCTGAATACATTTCCTTTCGTGAGACTTCGGCGCTCTGGTGCACCGAGAGGATGCCCTTGAAATCCGCCCACGCTTTGGTGACTCTGGGACAGGAAGTAGCAACTAAACATCCCAGGTGTTCGGCAGCGGGCGACGTGGGGGGGAGGCTGGCCCCCACAGGGCCTGAGAGACTGGCAACCAGGTCGCCGTCCTCGTCGATTTTGACCACGGACCAGGCGGGGGCGTCGTACACCGCAGGCCCAGGTTTCAAAACACTGCCATCGTGGAAAACTTCTCCTTGCATGGCCACCTCCTTGGGCAGCCCATCACGAGACCAATATACAGCCTGATCTAGTCCTAAACCAGGGGGCCTCAGAGCTATGGGTTCAGGTCGAAGTTGAAATCCTAACACATACGGAAATCCTCTCCTCGGGTCCTTGAACTCCTCGATATCTTCTTCCTTTAACATTTCCTCTCTCAAGTTGTGGGTCTGCGGGCACTCGAGGAGCCTGTGGGGGATAGAGTCCACGGGGCCCTTGCACAGCTCGCATTCGACTTCATTCTGATAGCCTGCCTCGTCCATCATTTCTTTAGACCAACTACACTGGCAGCCATATGAAAGCAGCGTCTTCCTCTTGTAGGCCTGCACTGTGCTGTCCTGCAGCGCGTGCTGCATGACCGACGGGTCGAGCTGCTCGTCGAAACCGAGCTTCTGCCCCGCCTTCACGTCTAACTGCAACTGCCACTGGGATTGAAACAGCTTCTTGATGAGGGCAGGGGAGGTAGTGATGAGAGGGTAGTCCTGGCCTTGCGAGTCTCGAAAGACGAGCGGGTCGGGCATGGACCACCCCAGACGACTCAAGCTGAGCAGCGCGGCCCCTAAGGGCCCTCGGATATGGTACCATCTCGTCGGGGGCTTGTGGAGGACCTGGAGGGCATGTTCACGGAGTCCCACCAGAGGAAAGCCGATCGTACCAGGATAATGAGCAACTCTCCAGATCAGGTTGGCCCAATAACAGGCCGGCCCCAGAGCAGCACTCCACGTCGGGCCCCCCAATATCGATAATGCCAGGGACCTGGATCTTGTAGCACAGCGGGGCCCTACAATCATGAGGTCGAGGGACTGGGCTTCGTGCAACTCAGGGTTGGTGAGGCCGACGACCTCGGCGCCGTAGTAGGCGGCTGCTTCCAAACCTGTCTGATATACCTTCCGCATATTCGCACCTGCTCGCCTAATCTGGGCCATGCGGTGGAGTCGACGTTTCATATTGGAGGTTCGCTTCGCCAGAGTTTTTCGGGCCTTCTTCGAGACCCTATTGCCCATGGTGAAATCGACTCCGAGGTTTGGCGCAGACTGTGCTTGGTTGACTCCCTCTGGTCCACTGTACTTGCCTAGAGCTTTGGCCAGGCGATGCTGTACTGCAGCAGACGTGCCCAGCACCGCAGCCTTGTGCAAGGCGACCGAGCAGTCGAGGTCCTCCTCGATTAAATCTAGCACGCTGTCGGAGGCCTGCGCCAGGTCCGACACCAACAGGCGAACGCTTGTGTCGCTGCTTGTCCACATGAAATCATCTATGAAGATTGAGGGGTCCACGGTGGGGAACTTCGGAACCCAGGAGCCCATGGGGGAAGCCGTATACATTTGGACGTTGTAAGTCGCAAGCGAGCAGCCAGCAGGGAAGCCTTTGGTAGCACGCCCCGCGTAGGTAGCCAATGTTCCGGTTGCGACAGCCCTGGGACCCCCATACTGATTCATCATAATACACGTGAGCGTCTCCGAAAGTCCAGAAGAGATCGCCCGAGATTTCCATTTCTTCCGATTGACATTCTCATAATAGTTAGATAAATCCCATAAAACCCCGCCTGCGTGAACAGCTTGATAGCCAGCAAGTTCAGCCTTCAAGGCCTGAACATAAACAGTTTCAAGCACACCTCGACCAGACTGATGAGCAAGATAAGGCCTCTTGTTGGCCCTTTCCCACCGACGAGCTTCCTCCTGGCGAATGTTGGACCGCGCCCTCCAGAGGGCAGGGAGCAAACCGATGCCTCGGTACGAGGGGCCCTCAGACTGGTCAGGCTTGTGCTTCTCAATCAGCGTGATAATGACGCCGCGGATGGCTGTCGGAAATGCTCCAATCTCCTCGATCGCCGCCAAAAGCTTACACACATGTTCAAGTTCAACATTGCTGAGATAAGCAAGGTGACGAGGGTGAAACCCAGTCCAAGTCTGGCTGGTAGATTTTGGGATTTTTTTGGCAGCCGATCTGATCTGGCCAGGCGTGATGGGCTCCAAGCGGTCACGCTCGACCGGCGGCAAGTTAAAGTCCTGCTCCTGCGGCGTGGAGTGCCACAATGCTGCGAGGCGGGCTGCTTGGGACCGGGGCAACTCTGAAGGCCGACCTGAAAATGTCTGCAGCTCGGGGCGCCAAACTTTCTGAGGTTGCCAGGACGTGAGCTTTGAGGTCCAGCGATGGGCCCAACCAGCTCCCCGAGACATTGCCTTCTGGACCCAGTTGTTCCAGGGCGTTGTTTCGCTTTGTCGGCCCTTGGCTTCCTCAGCTTGGAGCGCGTGATCAACTGCATCATCGAGCTCTCCAAATCAAATACCTTCAACGCGAGCTTGGGATCCATCTGGCCATTGTCCTGGTCCTGGGCAGCAGCGCCTAGAGCAGTCCTAACGCTGGCGAGCAAACGGGCAACCTCCTCGGTACCTTCGAGCTCTGGGGTGGTGACTGGATGCTGGTCAGAATTTCCGAGAGGTAAAACTACTCCTTGGAATCAACCCGTCGGATGACATCCATAACTTTGTTTTTCAACCGCCGAATCGGAATTGATAGACTCCCCCAACTGGCCCTGGGCTCCACCTCCCGAGCGGCCCCCGGTGCCCAGCGGATCTTTGGAAGGCCCACTCGCGGGGCAGTGGGCGACTTAATCGGAGTGTCCGTGCGAATGCGAATCGTCTTCGCCATGTCCGAGGCGAAGTACTGGTATGCCGAATCTAGGGCCAGCAAGCGGGCCTCAATCCCAGACTCTCGATCAATGACCTGGCCCAGGAATTCCAAGGCGGCCTCCGTGCGGCCCCAAGACGGCACATAGTTTGTCGGCCCATAAGGCCTGGAAGTAGCGAGAGGTTGGGGCTTCTCCAAGACTGGCACCATGAAGGGCTTCCCGCAGCGCAGCTGGAACAGCACGGGCCTATGCGGGCTCATGGGGTACTCGTCCAGAACAGTGGCCCCCGAGAGGTCCTGGTCGAAACACGACGAGGCGAGAACGAAGTCGATGATGGACTCAGACCTCTTCATCTTACATGTTGGTTTGGTCGGGGCCAAAATCTTAAGGCCTGCTCTCAGCGGGTTGTTCGACTCGATAAGCTTACTCGTCGGAACATTGAAATCCCCAGCAATGATGAGTGGCTGTCGTACAGCGTCCTGAATCATTGCGACCCCAGCTAAGAGCTCTAAGTTATACTTGTTAAGGCCCACCCCGTCGGCCAAGTAGAGTGATACTAGTGCGAATGGACGATGTCCAGGAAGCTCAGGTGAAACTGCTCTGCACCGTGACTCTGCTACCCCTGCAGGCGCTGGCACACGAGATACTCCAAAGTCATGCCCGTCACGAATCAAAATCCCTGCCCCTTGGGCAGGGTACCCTTGCTCACTGAGCACGGCTGGAGAGAGTATCGCATTCCACCCCTCTCGCTCACACCATTGTACGTTGAAAGGGAGCGCATCCTTCAATACCCGAACTTCTTGACAGCAGATGATGTCCACCGCCTCGGCTGCTTTTGACTTCAGAAACTTCCGAATGGATCTCCAGCAGCTTCCATTGATTGTGGCGAACCTGGCCGTGTTACCCACACGGCGTCCCGTCCGCCCCCTTGCCGCCCTTGCCCTTGTTGGCCAGGCAGAGAGCCTTCGCGCTGGACTGGAGCGCCGCGTTGGCCATCGCTGCTGGGGCGTGAGCGCCGGGTTCAGGCCGTTGATGTTCAGAACCTGGTCGATCGCGTCGCCTGCGCGCTTCATGCCCTGGCCCCGCTTGTCTGCCTCGTCTTGGCCCAGCTGCATGGCCTCGGCCTCGACGTCCAGGCTAGCAGCCAGCTCAGGGCTGACGTCTCCCGATGGGGTGGCGGTGGCGGCCTGGGACGGCCGGCGTGTGCCATCCGCGGCCAGCGACGGCGCCGTCGGGTCGGCAGCGGCAGCGGCTGGGCCTGCGGCCACCTCCTCGGCGCCCGTCTGGGGCGCCGCCGCCACCTGACACGCCGTCTGGGCCTGCTGAGAGCTGGCCTGGGTTGCCTGGGCTGCCTGCCACTCGTCGCGTAGCTTCGCCGACAACTGAACGACGGCCTGCTTCACCTCAGCGGACGGCGCGAGCCCAGGCGGGAACTGGCTGGTGATGTACGTCTCCAGCGAGGGGGCCGAGGAGCTGACGTGCTCCTTCCACGCCTGCTCCACTGCCATCTTGTGCTGGGTCTCTAACTGCTGCGTCTCCGCTGACAGGTCGGCGACGAGCTTGTACTGGTTGGTGTAGTCATTGTCCCGGGTGACCATGGCCTCACACGTTTTGTCACAATTCTGTTGGGCACTGAGCAGCTTCTTCTTGGCGACTTCGAGCTGGTCGTGCAGCGACTTCCGCTGCTGGTCCCATGGTTTTGCTGCCAGTGTCGATGCCTTCGCTGCTTTTAACTCCTCCACGGCCTGCAGGTAGTGACTCCCTTTGATGCCTTCCATTTTCTTCCAGAACTGAACAGCTGCCGAGCACACAGCAACTGGATCACGATCTGGCTCATCGGGTTCACGCACAACTGCAGCTCCTTTTTGGTGGCCCTTCGGCGCTGGGCTGGACGAGCGCCTGCGCCACATGTTGGGAGTGCCGTCTGATGTAGTCTGTGACTGGGGGGCCGAAGCAGGCTGTCCTGTCTTTCGTCCTATGAAGGCTGAGCCACACTGACCACAATACTTGAACGGTTTGTCCGCCCATGTCCATCCTTTGCATCCACCAGACTGGCAGCAGAGGTACTTCCGTCCGTCTCCTCTGCCACGGCTTGGCTGTCGCTGGCCGCCCATGTCTGATTGGAACGAGGGAGGCCCCAGGCTTGGCTGCTGACCTGGGGCTGCGCTTCTGATTGGCGAGAAAGCAGGCGCCACCTGCCTACGGTAGGCTGAAAAGATGGAAGCAGGCGCCACCTGCCCACGGTAGGCTTTGAGCCAGAGCGGCTTGAGCCAGGAGGGGGGGGAGGAGAGGAGGATCAGGAGCAGGACGGGGAGCAGAAGGAGGAGGAGGAGTAGGAGGAGTAGGAGGAGGAGAGGAGGAGGAGGAGGAGGAGGAGGAGGAGGAGGAGGAGGGAGGAGAGGAGGAGAAGGAGAAGGAGCAGAGGAAAAAGGAGCACATGGAGAGGAAGCAGGAGGAGGAGGCCGAAGGAGAGCGGGAGCGGAGGAGGAGAGGAGGAGGAAGGAGGAGGAGGAGAGTGAGGAGGAAGAGGAGGAGGCGGAGGAGGAGGAGGAGGAGGAGGAGGGGAGGAGGAGGAGGAGGAGGAGGAGGAGGAGGGGGAGAGGAGGAGGAGGAGGGAGGAGGAGGAAGAAGAGGAGGAGGAGGAGGAGGAGGGAGGAAGCTGGAGTGGCGCCGCGCCGACCTGCCACCGCGCAGAAGGTGAGGCTCAGACGGTCTTGAGACTGTGCGGCTCAGAGAAGGTACCCATACCGTTGCCCTCCCCTCGTTTCCACCTGTCCTGGGCCTCCCAGAAGGCCCTCGTCGCCACCGCTGGACTTGCCTCGAGGTCAGAGCGCCCTCCCGGGGGAGGCCCGGGGAGCAGCGGTATGAGGAGCACATTTTGGCCTCCCCAGAGTCAGGCGATCGCAAACATGGATCAAGGGGGCGTGCATTAGCGACGGGTCCCGTTTCCATGGGAAATTACAAATTTCCGCCGCCGAACGAGGCGTCACCGGCCGCATTTTGGGGAGGGCATCTCCCCCGATCCGTGGATTTGGCGACCGCGCGCCAAATCACTTGATGGCTAATGCGCCCCCGGCAGAGGCGGTTCGCGTTCCTGGTCGTGAGAGCTGTGCCCTCTCCGAGCATAGACTTCCTCATCCTGAACGCCGGCACCAGCCACAGCGACGCCGACCAGGAGGCCTGCGTCGCGCAGGGCTACCCCAGGTGTCTCAAGCCTGCCTTGGGGCGAGCTTGCCCAGCGAAGTGCAGGGACGACACCGAGTGGGTAGCCAAGAGCGGGCACAACCGTGTGATGGCTGGGAATCACCTGGGGCACTTCCTCCTGGCCTCGATGCTGGCTCCACACCTCGCACCCGACGCGAGCGTCGTTGTTGTGAGCAGCTTGGCCATGTGGTTCGGGAACCCGCACTGGCTCATGCAGCACTGGGGATCCCCGCCGCAGCGGCTCGAGACAGTGAAGGAGGAGATCAAGGGCGGCGGCGACCTCAGGTCGGACGGGTCCTCCTCCTCCTCCTCCTCCTTCTCCTCCTCCTCCTCCTGCTCCTCCTCCTCCTCCTCCTCCTCCTCCTCCACCTCCACCTCCGAGATCTCGGCCTGGATCGACGTGCTGAAGGACGCCTGAGGGTAGGCGCCCCAGAGACAAGTTCAGAGGCCGAGGATGAAGATGAAATCCTTTTTGAGGCCTGGCTCTAGTGAGTTGGGGTTCGGAGGGCGCGGGCACCGCGCCGTAGCCATTGAGCTTCGGCAGTGCGGCCTCGTGCACCTGGCAATGTGACGCACTCTCGACGGGTGCGGACGGCGGACGCACGCTTAGGATGGCCCCTGCTCCTTTTCGCCTCCCCCTTCGCCCCTCGCCTTTCGTGGCCCCTGCCCGTCGCTCGTGGCCTCCTCTGTTCGGCCCCCTCGGTCGGCCCCCTTCGGCCGGCTCGGTCCCTCGTGTAGGCGCAGCTTGAGCTTCCTAGTCACGAAACCAGTCAGTGGAGCAGTCATTCTGATCTCTCGTCCCACAGCCGCTCACAGACAGACACCTCCACCTCCTTCTCCTCCTCCCCCTCTCCCCCTCCTCCTCCTCCTCCTCCTCCTCCTCCTCCTCCTCCTCCTCCTCCTCCTCCTCCTCCTCCTCCTCCTCCCTC